ACTAGAAACACAAATACACTCCGATTACTGTTACCATACCCACAGAAATGCTGAAGTTCAACATGACATTAATAGATCACCTTAAATATGAACAGTTCACCAAAACATTTAATAAACTCTTCTATATTAGGAAGATGTATAAGGGAGTGCTACACCAGGCTACCTAATGGGCTACCAATCCCTAATACATGCATTATACAAGTTTCAATAACTCTGTTAAGTGTAAAAAATGTTAATTATTTTTTAATCATAACATCTTATTAAAATCTGGTTAGTTTCAGTAAATAATATAGCTTCTCCTGTCTTATATCTTCCCCTCATTACTTGCATGCTTCATTGAGTAAATTGGATTTTAAGAGCATAGTCAGAATATAAGTAAGGCCTCACATGGCCTCTAACACAGACTTCAGTAGCTTGGCTTAAATGTACACACCATATGTTTGGTTTAATTGGTGCATGTGAAACCTGAAATCAAACCCTTAATCCTTACAGTATTAACGCCACACACTGTGTAGGTTTGGCGCTGGATTAGGGCTTGCAATCCGCGAGCAGTTGTGACATTACATCCCACACAGTATGTCCACACTGTGCTGCGATCCTAAAGCACTATTACAGCAAGTTAAAGGGTGTGTTGAACTAAGCAGCAGACCACCTGTTTGTGTGCGGCTAATGTTAGCATCTTTTGACACAACAGCTCAGCAGGAAATCCTGACTTAGAATGATTTGATCTGGTTGATACTGTAATGATCAATTCTAAGAAACTAAACAAATATCCTAACAGGCCAGGCCTTGTGGTTGGTTGTGCCACAGACACGCACTGCAACAGACTGTCTAGACTCCATGGTTTGGATTAAATGTAACACCCATAATGTGTGCTGGGATTTGGACCAGTGTGTCCTCAAGAAGTACAGGATTTTGTAGGTTAGCTAGCATTAACACCATTTGACTGCTCGTGAACAACATGTCAGTCTGGTCACAAGCAGTCGAGATTCAAATATACATAATGTAAAGTAACCTTTAAAATATGAATTTAAAAAGGGTGTATCTTAACATAAGTGAAATCAACGTTTACACACAGCAGATGGCAGGCTAGTTATAGCAACAGGTATAAATGGCAATTACCACATCTTACTGTCCTGGTAGAGATTTAATGTGCCAACGATTGGCCTCATTCAACAATATGTAAGGTTTTTCATAAACTTGTTCTGAAGTTCCTCAAAGGAAGAATGATCAACCTGTTCTTAAATATAATATAAATCAAGTATATCCTCTGAAAATAACTCTGTGAGTCATGACTGTCTACAATGAGTGTAACACCCGAGTCCCACTGTCTGTGATGTTTTCAGAATCCTATCTTCAATTTGTTTACATCGCCGGGATGGCCGGCTGACTCCTCCCCTCATGTATAAAAGTTGTTTAATTGAGGGACTAGAGAAAAGAAGAATAACATACTGTACTTACTGCTTAACTGTGTTTCTAGATCACGCTCATTTCAGGTAAATTCACATGCAGTATGAAGATACAAGCATAATAAAGATCACTAGCATTAGCATGCTAACACAACAATGCAGCGCAAGTTGTTTTGGTTTCATGCTGGTGCTCAAGGGCAACATCTGCTGGATCAAAAAATAAATAAATCACATAAAGCCTTTAAACCAAAGAGTTGTTTACACCCCGTGGTCTCAAAATGATGATTCATTTGGTTAAATGAAGAGAAACATATCTCGCTCTCATACCGCTAAATGTCAGCAAGCTATTGCTGCTAGCTTAAAAAAACTTTATCTGCAAGCAATATTCTTGTACACACCCTACATATTGTGTATAAATCCAAACTATCTCTTGAAGACTTCCCCTACAGTGTTTTCCTTAGACCCAAGTCACCCCTCCTCCTACATCTCAAATTTGGTTCACTTTGGAAAATCCTCTGACACACTGCAGCTCAACTTGGCCTTTCTCATCTGACAGCATTTGGTCAGCCGGTGACAGTGACACTCGGCTCCCTGGTGTATTTTTGTCTTCCCGTTTCTCCCCCTGGGCTGATATAGGCAGTGCAAACCCCGTATAAGTCTCCCAGGCATTCCAGGAAGCAACAGCTTGCGCAACGGCTTTTTGTGCTGCATGGACATCATGCTAGATAAGAAGGAAAGGTCGACATGAAATGTCCTGAGATTATATCGAGGGTTGGCTGCATAACAGAAGGAAATGAAGACAAAAACAAATAGAAACAAAGAAGAAATGACATAAAAACTTGTAGCACTACTCGGGTCAGTTAAGATTTGCAAACATGTAGGAGTCTTTATCAAGGACACAGACATGAAGAGCCAAACAAGCACTTCAGTTATCTGACAGCTTGAAGCTTGAGTCATTTCTGGTTTCTTCTCAGCCTAGGCTGAGAAGAAACCACAATGTCCTTTCTTTTGAGAAATGCTTTTATAGTCAGCACAGTAGTTATGAATTGAAATACTGTATATAGAGCATGGCATTTGGTAGCATCACCAAACGATCCTCTTACCCAGTAGTACAGTGACAGCCCAATTTCACAATATGTAATGGAGGGCGTTTAGGATTAAGATGGTATGGATGTTACAAAAATAAGCCCCATATATCACAGGAAAGGTTAATGTTTTTAACTTTTCTGTGACTAAAAACTGTTTCTATATGTCTGCTCATTTTCAAACAATTCTCTCAGTCAAACTAAGAGGTCACTGCAGTTATTGCTGACTCATCTGTGTGCCTTTTAGTCTGGATTTGTAAATGGTTTAGCCATTTGTATAATTATTATAGACATCAACAGTCAGGTGTTTCTTTTACCTGTTACCCAGCAGATGTTTGTAGTTTCACAGGTTGTTTATTTAAAATCAATTATTTAGTAAAGATTCTAAGAGAAAACATGTTACTTTGAGTTCAATATTTCTGCATTTAGAGCTGTTCTCCTCTGCTCTTCTTCTCCGTTTGATAACAGAAACCCAGTGTAGTTTTTAGTAGTTCTAGAGAAATGTAGAGCAACGTCTGGGCTGGTCCCTGTTTGAAGAATGCATGCAAGCACACCAGCATGATGTATATCAAACCAGCCATTGGTTTCGCATTGCTCACTGATCAATTGGCATTGGTTAGTTGCCATGAATGCAGCAATGTCAGTCAGCTAGAACACATAGACTTAATCCAAACTCTTCTCCTATTTACCAATATATTGAACAACTATTTTATTTATGTGTCCAAATTGTATCTGATAATCCTAGTCTTCTGATTGTACAAAATTATGATGAATTGTTAATGTTATTTGTATGAATCATCTGTTCTACACACTATCCAGTGTCCTACAGGTAGCAGTGATGAGTGAACACAAGAAAAATTAAGAAACAGCATCTAAGATATACCTAATGCAAAAATATACAATATTTAAAAACATTGGGTTAATGGGGTTTTTTGGTTGTTTTTGTTTTGTTTTTAAACCCTAAAAGAGACAAATATATGTCCCATTTGTAACTTGTTTGCTTCAGTAAAAACTCATCAGGTAACTTTTCATGTTAGCTGCTGCAAAGTCTGTGGACAGTCTGGAGTAATAGCGTAAAATAAAAAAGTATTTTATCATTTACATTAAGAAAGGATCGTGAAAAGTACCTTTGAAAATATAAATGGCTGCTGTAAAAACAGGAGAAAAACATTAGATAAGTTTTGAGAACTCAATATCACAGATGTTTATTTGTGTCTTTGTAGATCTAACTTGAAGACCTTACATCAAAACACATCTCTGTAGTTCTCACGGTTAGAAGGGTTTAAAAGTGCACAAGGTTTAGTCAGCAGTAATGGTGAGGCAAGAGCAGCAACAAGGTAACAATAACTCTTTTTAAACCATAGCTGGGATTTGTTCAAGTCCTGGACCTCTGAACAGTTATCCCCTTATGCTGACCAAGCTCCTTTTGACCAACACTCAAACAGCAACTTAAAGCTGCTTGCAACACTTGCTCTTCCAACTAGTCATTTACTAAAAATCCACAACCCATGCAAACACACTCCCTGAAGGTATGATTATTGGATGGCAGCTTCCCTGTCCTGAAGACAAACATGTTAAGCAGCATGATATTTGGACGCACTCATTAAGTTTGGATGACCATCCAGATCGAATGAACACTAATCCATTATAGGACCCAAGTGCAAATGTAATGTAAGTTTATCCTGCTGCTGAAACATCATTCCTCAACTGGGGAGATGCAGTCGTCTTGCCTTACTGGATTTCACGTCTCTGAGGAGGTGAAGCCACCTGCTGCACACAGGAATGGACTGGAGGATTAAAAGAAGGGGCACACTACAACAAATACAACTGCAAGTGAAGACTCAACACCCTGAAACTCCTGGGGGGAAATCCACTGTGGTACAGGATTGTACTTTTAAAGACCTTTTAAAGGGCGAATGTGCTATCCATAATGAAATGAAGGCTGTTGTACTTCCTGAGTCGTTCTTTGAGCCTTTTCAAGTCAGTAAAGTTTGTAGAGTCTTATTCAGTAGCAACTTTCCATTTGGGGGTGGTGTAGCTAACCTATCTAAATGTAGGGGTTACAGTATGAATATTATTTAAATGCCTATTTGTAGCCACCTCCAAATATTCCTATAGGCTATACATTGAATTAAGAAATAGCAGCAAGTAGCCAACAAGCTTACTTCTGTTTACCTAATTTGTCTTATAAACTAAAACGACTTTTGTAGAAAAAAATAATTACTAGAAGGCTAAACCTGAGGCCTGCCCAATCACCTGTACCCCAATCACCTGTAACCCAATCACCTGTAACCCAATCACCTGTAACCTTGTTGAGTTACAGCAAATACTGAATGATTTAACAGCAGCAATGTCTAATAACAAGCATGAAACAGAGAGTTCAAATAAAGATTATTAAATAATCTGTGTGTTATGTCAGATATGAACCTTTCCAAATAAGATTCCTGATAAGCGCTGGGTCGTGCTTTCACGCTGAGAGAGAAAAGTGCGTCTGTCAGCTACTTACACCGGAGAGTCTTTGAGAGATAGACAGCTGTCCCACTGGAGTCCACGGAGTATTATCCACACTGTGTCCAAAATAAAAGTCTCAAACTATCCTCACGGTTCTGGTTCACACATTAAGTGTGCGCTGAGGTTCTCTTAAAGTAGCGACCTGTTTCTCACGAGAGCTGCCGTGTGTCTGCCGACCTCTGTGTTGTAGACTCAAGCTCGACAGCAGCACACAAATCAACTTCCGGTTGGTATTTTGCAGTTTTTTTTACCTTTATTTTACAAGGCAAGAATTGCTTGAGGCCAAATGACCTCTTTTTCGAGCAAGGCCTGGCCAAAATGGCAGCAGTAAAAAACGAAATATAAGACAAACCTAAAAAGAAAGCACAGACATGAGAAAAAGAGACAAATACAGTCCAGTTAGTTTTGTCCCTGGATTTAGTGAAGATCATCATTTTAGTTTTATCTGCATTGTAGACTGTACCAGTCTTAAAGACAGGAGTTGGGCTTCTATTTCTTTAAAAGCAGCTTGCTTGCAGTCTCTCCAAAACAATAAATAATAGTATCGTCAGCATAGAAATGGGCATTTGCATTTTGGACATATTTCCCCAAATCATTAATATGAATAGTAAACAACAAGGGACCTAATATAGAGCCCTGCAAAATAGTCTACACACCTTTACAATTTGTGGACAAAAGAAGTAGCCTACCTGACATGTTAAAATATATTTAAGTTCTGGTGGCACCAAATGAACACAACCTGCTGATAGGAGTCTACAAAGAGCGATGGGGAGCAGAGAGAAATGCAGCATTGTTAGCGACATTGCTAACCATAGTAGTGCTTTCTATAAGCCTAGGTTTCAGTATTTCTGACATTATGTAGCTAGGCCTACTGCATTAAACTTAATGATTGTAGTCAGGATACAGACATATATTTTTTTCAATGTAGTCTTTTGTGTCAGCTTTTCTGAAAGTGTAGCCTATGTAAAGAGGTCAAGAGTTTGCAATAGCTTTTTGTTTGTTGGAAGTACATAGTACATAACACCATAGTCTACTATCATATTGTTCCAAATGACAACAGAAGATTTAAACATTATTATAAAACGTTTCCACGTGATCAAGGCCTATGTACAGGCAATGCGTGAGGCTAATCGAGACCTATGCCTGCTTTTATTTTGAAGGTAAATCTGCTCAATTTCCTGTGCTGCTATGTCTGTAGATAACTTGACACAAAAGTGCAGAATTTGAAAAGCTGCGCCTCCAATACCACTTAAAATGTTATCCAATAGGAATTTGAGCGTTAAACTGTAATATAGTCTATATTTCGACTGTCAATTGTTTTTTTTCTCTCTAAGCGTTTAAAGAAAAGGGCAGATACAAAAGCAAAGCTGCCACATAATGTGTCAATGTCATATTTCAGGACAAATATCCTTGTTAAACAGCTTATCTGGCGATAAGTAGGCTACACTTCACAACAAAAATGATATAATCAAAAGATAAAATCCTATAGGTCCTTTGTAGCTAATCAGGACTTAACTTGGCCTATAAATAAATGTGCTGCAATGGGCCTGGCAACCTCATATGGGCCTATTGTGCAAAGTCACCATAGTAAACTTTTATAGGTCTATTCTTTAGTTAATCAGTAATTCATTCAACATTTATATAAGCATCCTCTTGACATTCAAAAGAACTCAGCAGCCACCTTTAGTCTTGAGATAGGACTGAGGAACAGCCAGCAGAGCCCTGCATCAGGATCCTATAGGTGAGACAGCACAAGCTCATATGGAACAGCAATGCACCAATGTTACTGAGGGCTTTAAAGCTAAACAAAAAGAGAATGTACATGTTATTTCAACATTATCAAAAGATGCAGAAATAAATTGCAGTAAAAGTCTGTTCTTCTGTTATTCTAAAATTTCAGTCTGTTTCTATTTCTGCCAGGCTCTGCCACCTGGTGGAGAAGGACTGCTATGACATTATAAAAGAACACAAATATAGTTAATTTTACATTTATGAAGACTCAATAGTGGTCGTGTGGAAACATAATAATCATCATAAATATTGTCGACAATTACAACATAGTGTAATGGGCAGTCCTACATGAATATATTTTTGTGAAATATATATATGAAACGCTGTACACATGAACACGTCACACATACACTCAGAGTGAAGGGGGTGCCCACAGCGAGCGCTCCAGAGCAGTTTTGATTTGGTGCCTTGCTCAACGGCACCTTGGCAGTGCTCAGGGATTGGACTGTCTCCAGCTACCAGACCAACTTCCATGCTGGGTCCATGCCAGGACTTGAACCCGCAACCCTCTGGTTCCCAACCCAAGTCCCTACAGACTGAGTTACTGCCGACCCTGTACATGAAAATATCTATAATCTGTGTAAAACAAGGATTTTTTTTATTTATTTGCAAATTACTTTTTCACCATTTTGCAGATTCTTGCTGAATTGCTGAAATGACAGCACAACCATGGGATCAATCAATTATTTCTTCTTTCCCTTACCAATGACTTGTAGGCATATACTGCCCCAGAGGCGATGTCACTTTGAGGGAACTATTTGACCTCATTCAACTTTGTGGAATTATTTTGGCTGCATGGACTGAATGAGGAAATAAACACAAGTCACAGTTTCTACAGCTGATTTCAACAATGATTCTTCAGAAGGATGCTCAGTCGTTATCAAAGTCTGAAGACTCAATATTTACATCCTCTCCTAACCAAAAGGACAGAGACTGTATTCAGTACGTTATTTGTTTGGGTTGGCTATTAAATCTAATGAGGATAAAGAAGAAGTCAACTATAAGATTTTTTAATTAGTATTAGAAAATAATTTTTAAAGTCTTCCTTTGTTAGATAAACCTTGACAGTGCTTTAAAATAAGAGACATGTATTAGATCAACAAATCAAACTCTTTCCATATTCACTCTCTGAATAAAGACAGAGCTATAGCCTTCTGTGTGTGCAGCACATCCAATAAAACATCCGTGCTGTAAGTTTCCTAATGGCCTCATGTCCTTTACCTCTTAATGCAACATAAAACCTCTGTGTGCCTCTTCCTGCCTGCTCCACTTGCGTGTTTGATGTCTCCACTGAGTGTGTAGGGTGAACTTCCCTTTAGAGATCACATCTGGCAACCCCTGCCACCAGCTTTTGATCTTTCTTTCTTTTTTTACATTCTGTACATTATAGTACAGTAAGCACGTTTTTTTACATCATTGTAACGAGCCATCCGATTTAGACATGACTTCACGAAATGCAATTTGAACCCTTTCCACACCATTAAACCTGATTCGTTCTGGTTTATAACCCAGTCAGCAGCTCTCCTCACTCAGACTTTTCCAAATAAAACGGATCCAGCTGTGTGCGGCTGTGCGCCCTCCGTGCGTCACACTCCTCTGCTGCTCAGTGTGCAGGGCAGACAGCAGCGTCTAGGAGAAAGGAAGAGAGAGGAAAGATGTCCGGTATCATGTTTCTGTCGGTGTCTCTGAGCTTAAGCTTGTTGTGGGTGACCGGAGGCTCGGCGCGGAGCGGGACTGTGATCCTGCGGGACGCACTGGAGGGGAACCCGGTCAGTCTCAACGACATGTTCCGAGAGGTGGAGGAGCTGATGGAGGACACTCAACACATACTGGAGGAGGCTGTGGACCAGGTCTGCGTCATATTTTATTCATTACAAGGGCCGTGTTGTCTATGGTAATGGAGAGAGTGACAAACTACAGTTACAGTACTTGTTGAATTATAGGCTAGCCTATATCTACTCTATTATAACAGTGTTAGATCGGTAAGGCATCACTGTAAGTCAAGTTCAAATATATGTCAGTTTAAATTTGACCACCAGGATGCGGTAACATTACGCATAGTTTCCATGTCTGCATAATGTCTGATCCACAGCAAGTCTGAATCAAACTTAACTTAGTAAATGCTCAAATGGGTATTAAACAGAAGAAAAGGTCAAACTGAATAACACTGAGTGTTACAGAGAAACTTAAACAAACTTGTTTCTGGTAGCAGTCAGACTGGAAGGCATCAGTACTTTGGATTGGATTTATCATGTTTACTGGTGAGTCTCACTGATGTAACAGTAGTCTCTTTATATCACTTTTGAACTTTGTGAAGCTTTCTCTTCATGTCAAATGGATAATCATGGTTGTAAATCAACAAACTCACATGAGTTGCACATTACAAAATGCTGGTTAAAAACAACTCAACTTTTTAAATGAAACTAAATTAGGTCCAATAAGATGCTGAGTTAGTGAAATCCAGCATGGTGGGTGACCTGTTTAACCCAGGTGGATGGGCCATATAGACCTATCCAAACAAACCCAGGTTATTTTTAAATATTGCTATGGATCAATTATTATCACATTATGAGTCTCATATTCTAAAGACACAGATACTGGAAAACTTTATAAAGAAGCACATCCAAATCAATAACAAATAAATGATGACAAATACGCGTAAGCATCATGAAGACAATAATTGGCTCCATTGCGATTAGAGTGTTGAAGTAGTTTGAAGATCAAAAATAAAAATAAAAAAGCAGCAAGACACAAAAAAATAAAGATGAACTTCAACATCTGTCCAGGACTCTTCTGTCTGTGTAATCCTCAGAGCTGGAAATAAAAAGAGATAACAAGAACAATCATTTAATTTCAACACTATATAACATGTGATTTTAAGTAATAAAGACATTTGTATATGTTTAAACAGTGCCATAGGCCAGCACAGCTTTCATTAGTGATTAACAGAGAGCTCTCCCTCCCTGTCCTTCATATGCAGATTATCTGTATCTAATTTATGCTGGTCCCAAATGAAGGCAGCCAAATGTCATAGACTGAAGTAAACATAAGACGGGGTATTAATACAAGTTTTAAGTTAGATGGATTTTAGTGTAACCCAGCAGCTACAATAACCCAATTCACTGAAAATAACCCAGAAAAGTGACCCAACAGGCTCAACCTAGCATTTAGTGTGTGCAGCCACCTTGAGGATGTAATTCTGATATGTTGACTTGATGGAAATGTCAGATAATTTCTTAAAGACTAATAAATGAATTCACATGAATCCTGACATTTCATCCAACAGATAACTACTGAGAGTGCAAAATCCTCTCTAACATCGCTGGATCTGATTCCTAACTTCCACAATCAGACAAGCAGGACCACAAAGGATGGAGACGGAGTGGTTCAGGTCCTCGATAGAGTTGATAAGGTAAAGTTTAGCTTTTAAACAGAATGGAAAAATAAGTAACTATGAGACAAAAGACTTTTAACTTTAAAGGCTTAATATGTGATTTTTCACACTTAAATATAATATAAATCAAGTATATCCTCTGAAAATAACTCTGTGAGTCATGACTGTCTACAATGGGTGTAACACCCGAGTCCCACTGTCTGTGATGTTTTCAGAGTTTTCAGAGTCCTATCTTCACTTTGTTTACATCGCCCGGACAGCCGGCTGACTCCTCCCCTCGTGTATAAAAGTTGTTTAATTGAGGGACTAGAGAAAAGAAGAATAACATACTGTACTCACTGCTTAACTGTGTTTCTAGATCACGCTCATTTCAGGTAAATTTACATGCAGTGTGAAGATACGAGCATCATAAAGATCACTAGCATTAGCATGCTAACACAACAATGCAGCGCAAGTTGTTTTAGTTTCATGCTGGTGCTCAAGGGCGACATCTGCTGGATCAAAAAAATCACATATAAAGCCTTTAAAGGAGCAAATACAAAATACCTTTTTTTTGCTTGTCTGAGGTCTGATAGAAGATTGTTTCTTTCTTTCACTTAAAGGAAACTAATAATGAAACAGGAGAGAGTCATCTTTCACACACTCACATAGAGCTGTCTGGCCAGTGGAACTCAGTGGATCACGTGAGTCTCTTTCTCTCCCTGTCTGGTCTGTGTGAATAATTAGAGAACTATGAGCCCAAAGCATTCTGCCATATGTTTCCTGTTGATTGGTTTCACTCCCATCTTGATACTGCTGACATGAGTAGAAATGCACAAAATAGCTTATCAAGATGTGATTCTTAGTGGAATGGGTCTTTTGAGCAAAGTCAATTCACTGAAGTGTTGTATGCACTTTTCCAGCTAATAGCCTGTTGTCTCATGAGTCCACAAATGTGTGTTTGGTTATCAGGCCATAAAATAAAATATAACCCCCTGGTTTTGTTTCTCTTTTAGTAGCAATGATACAAACTGAAAAGGACGCCCTATGGAGAGACTTCGTCACGTTTCCCACATTCAAGTCAGCATCAGTCGTTTTTTTTATTCACAATTTGAACGTACTGGGGCATGATTTAAATGTTTCCTAGTTGACATGTTCCCTCAGTATTGTAATATTTAAACTGTCTGTAAGAAGAAACAAAGTGGTGGAGAGCTTTCTCAAACTGTGGCTGTCTTGTCTCGACATGTTTTGATAAAGAATGAGATCATCCAGCAAACAGATCTAATATACTTTTCAGAGTTTTAACCAACAGGAGGCTGGCTTGCGTTGAGGTAGTGCTCGCTGCTTTCCGACTGTTTAGCCATTTTACTTCACAACGGTGGTTCTGATCTTTTGCTTTCCTGGCAGCCGTACAGAAAGTGGTTATGTTAATGGAGGCTGCTGCTGCTGGAAAAAAAAAATACCAGGGGAGCAAAAAAAGCCCGCAAGCCAGTCCGGTCCCTGTGCTCTTCCAAAAAGACTAACTGTGAAGAAGTTTCCCTTTCTACAGTTTAAACTTGATTTGAAGCAAGGATGATAGAACATGCACTTCATTTGATTGATTTAGCTCTTTATAAAGAACATCCAGACAAAATGGTATCCTTTTAGTTAAACGTCAAAGCCTTAAAGTATTAAAATGAGATATGTTTGGTTGAAATGTGAAGGGTTTTTGAATGTCTGTAACCAGTAAGGAGTGTTGTCCCAATGAGATAAACTGTTGATACCTCAAATAGAGCTGCTTAAGATTAATACAGATTTCTAAACTCACTCAACTTTTATTGATTACCAAACCTTTCAAACAAACATGCAATGCAAACGGATTCCAACTGGAAATTAAAACAAAGTCAAAAAACAAGTTCAATAAATGTCAACAATTAACACAATAAAAATGCATGCATTTCAAGCAAAAAAAAGAGACAAATATCATTAATAAAAGTCATCAAATAATAAAATTAACACAAGAAATATCAACTACACCTAGTGTAAAAACAGAAGACATCCTCAGGTGTCTTAACATGAACCATGGAACCTGCATCTTTTAAACAGTACCTTATCAGGTACTGATGTTTAAAGAGAAATGTATCTCACACTGAATATCAGCCTTCAACATTCATCTTTTTTTAACACATTTTGTCATTACTTATGAAAAACAATGTGAATCCAGAGTGTATTGATGAATAATTATGAGCAAATACTAATAATGAGTTATGCATATGTGAAACAGAGGATGAGCCACATTAGCCTGGTGCCTTGCTCAAGTGCACGACCGGAGTACTCTGGAAGTAAATGGTAAATGGACTTGAGCTTGTATAGCATTTTTGAATCTTCTGACAACTCAAAGCGCTTTAACACATTCACATCCATTCACACCCTGATGGTAGAGGCTGCTGAGTAAAGTGTCCATCAGTATTAACTAATCCCATTCACACGATGATGAAGCACCAAGATCAATTTGGGGTTAAGTGTCTTGACCAAGCATTGAACCCCTGACCTTCTGGTTGAGAGACGACCGAAATTAGCACTGAGCTACAGCTGCCCCCCCAGTAAACTGGCACCTCTCCGGACCCCAATTTGGACTCAACCAGTCCTGATTACAAGGGCTCCTTACACACAAAAGCTTTATACAATGGTTGTTACCATTCATGCAAATAAAGCATCTTGAATTTGAACTTGACCGGTGAAGGGGACAAACTGTTTACAGTGGAAAGGAAAGTTTCCATATATGAGACTTGCACAGTGAGCATGCATTGTTTTTAAAAGATTCACAAAAGAAGTATTAATGCACACTATGTGGATCCTGTCTCTGTCTGGTCAACCTACATTATGGAGGCTGTGTCAGGCACTTGACTCTGCTTCGGCGCTGATTATCCAAAGGAAACACACAAAGATAGAGACTTTAAAAAATGAAAAAATGAAAATGGAGAATTCACAGCAGGCTTGTGTTGCTTTTGGCAGACAGTGTTTCCTCTGACCACTGAGAACCAGTCAAAGTAAATCTCAAATATCTAAATAGCAATCAAAGCAAAGCCCAGAAAAAGTTAGATTTATGATCTAAGAGAAAAAAAACACGAAATGCACAGATTCTTTCAAAAGTGCTCCCAGCATGCACTCAGCCATTTGTTGCATGCAGTTATTTTGATGTTACATGTTACTTCTGTACAACTGAGATGTCGCAAACGTCCATTAGATGGTTGCCATGGAGATAGATTGTGGCTGAAAGAAACATCTTTTGAAACCCTGAATCACATGAAACTATAACGGAGGGTCACATTCAATATGTACACCACAGTATGTGGTTGTGTGCTTCTTGGTAGGGTGATCTTATGTGTTATATAAGGTTATGGCTCTGTACAACACGCCGATGGTTTGTATCCACATTATGTAAACAGTAAACCTGATCTACAGTCTAGCTCAACACAATTTTTCAATGTGCATTTTAATGTATTTTTGGCTGTCTCTTTCCTTGAAGATACATTGTGTAACCGGTGTTATCTCTCAACCCAGGAATGCATGGTGGACGAGGACTGTGGTGATCTGAAATACTGCCTGTATGAGATAAAGGACTCCAAGTGCCTCCCCTGCATACCAACAGATATGGTGAGGATTGAGTCAGTGTTGTCCTTTGTGGGTTCAGTATTTGTTTCTTTAAACCTGCACTGATTCATAGTTTTCAGAAAACATTTGTGTATTAGAAATGTGGCAATGACGAACCCATATTGACTTATCATCCGATTCTGCAGTTTCCCTTAAAGGTGCACTATGTAGATTATGTAGTGAAATTTGGAGACGTTAAACAATTATATGCTATATTTTCTGAACTAAATACACAAGCTGTATTCAAAGGAAAAAATGGTTCCCTGGAACACTGTTTGGAGATAAAAAGCTACCAGGAGAGCTATGGTTTTACTGATGTGGGCCCCCCACCATAACTTTGCACGTAGCATTTATCTTCAAACAGTGTTACAGAGACCACATGTTCCTCAGAGGACAGTTTGTGTATAGAGTTATGAACATATACCACAGAATCTGTAAATTTCTCCAACTTTCACATTTGTGTGCACCTTTAAGCCTGAGGATCTTTTTTTAACATGTTTTGGCTCATTGTTTTGGTTTTCTCTCTAAGTTATGTTGTTTGGTTCTCAGTAACCTTATTTTTAGTAAGAGGATGCAGACAATAAACTGACTGTATATAGTAGGTGTTTTCACTCAGACACACAAATATTCAGTATGAGCGGCACTTGTGAACACAAACACCTGCAATGTTTACTACCAGCCCCCTGGTAAACTTTCAGTGTGAACGTTGAGCTGGTGTGTGAACGCAGCAGATGATGTACAGTAGAATTCATTTCAACAGTATATAAGTTTGAACTGTCTTGATAATGTATTCATTAGGTGACCAGAAATGTACATCAAATGAATAGATATAGTTTGATCTGTTTATATATGCAACTATTAAGAGTTCAACTTATTTATCTATTATTTATAATGTATTTTCCACTCTATCCAAGTGGTCAAAATTCATTATTGCAGCGTTAATGTGCACTTTGTAAAGTGTAACAATATAATGGTTCCCTTTCTGACTTCATGTTATAGCCAGAGATTTAAAAAAGGGGGAGATAAAATGTTTGTCTCAGGTTTCAGTGTTCTACAGTGTTCTTTCATGGATTATATATTTGTATTGTTATCCACATAAATCATCAGCGTCTTGTCAAATATGGTACCTTATTTTTTGGTTAATGCATAAAGAAAATGATAAAAAGCAAGATATCCATCTGTTAGCCGTAATGCAATCACTGTGGTTTTGTAAAGCACAGCAGTGTTAGAGTCTGCATGAACAGACGCAATGCTGTGCTGAGTGATGAATAAGGGTCTCAACAAAATGCAAGAAATACTAAGAATCAGCTGAAGTGTTAGACCCTTAACATCTAAACGGATTAATTTACAACTGTGAGAACTATCTCAGTGTTTGACTGGAACTACTCAGAAAGATCCATAAAAGAATGGACGATAATAGAAAGCTCACATGAATGCAGCAACAGACCATGTATGTTTTACATATTTGTTTGCATATCTGAATGTATCCCCCCTCCTCCCCCCTTCAGCCCTGCACTAAAGATGAGGAGTGTTGCTCGGAGCAGATGTGTGTGTGGGGTCAGTGTACGGTCAATGCCACCCAAGGAACAGAGGGAACTATCTGTCAGGGTCAGAGTGACTGCAGGCCAGACCTCTGCTGTGCCTTTCAAAGAGGTGAGCTTAAAAAGTAACACCAACACTCATCTGAATATAACACATAGTAAGATAGACATACTTTGACACGCTGTGAAGGATGTTTTTACTGACCACATGGCGGCTGTCACTCAGTGGTAGCAAGAAACTAAACCTTGTGTGAGGAGTTCTTAGCTGGTAGCGAAACAGACTGAAGCTGTAGGTCTACTGATGCCTTTATGTAATCTACAAAATCCAAAGGGCTCATTGGCAACAACATCGACTATTCCTATTGTCATTTTTTATCACTTGAAACCACTGGTGTCAGACAAGCGGATAACTGGTATGCTACAGACACAGACTTGAAAAGAATATCTATGCCAAAGATTTAGGATGCATATTAGTCATTTTAAAATAAAGGACAACATTTTTTTGTAAAGAAACATCACACAGAAAAGCTCAGCAATATTAGATACATCATCCAGTTTTGTCCACAGGGTTTGCCAAAATCAACAAAAACTCGAAAGTTCCTTAAAAGAGCTTTTAGGTTTTATACTTTCTCATTGCCCCTGCTGCAGTGTCACTGAATGAAGACCAATCTGTTTAGTCTTACTCCATTAATAGCACATGGTCAAAAATAATGTATGACAGGCTATAAAAGTCTACAAAGAAAACTGAATGGAGACAGCTTTGAGAATATCTTCTTTTTCTGAGACTAGTCTTAATGTCTGACAAACCCGAGTGTCATACCTGCACCTTAGTTTGGGTTTGTGTGGAACAAGAAACAAAGAGTAAATATCGGCAGAGGTTGAATTTAAAAAGCAAATTAAGAGAACATTTTTACCTCCATGACTTTTCTCTCTCTCTTGCTCCTTCAGAGCTTTTGTTTCCAGTGTGTAATCCCAAACCACAGAAAGGGGAACCCTGTCTGAGCAACCCCAACCTGCTGATGGACATGCTGGCCTGGGACCAGGAAGGTCCGAGTGACCACTGCCCCTGTGCCGACAATCTCCAGTGCCAACCTCACAGGTGAGAGCAAACATAGTGTGAACATTCAAATAATGAAAATACTGACGATAAAATCAATGATTGTTTAAGTCATTATGAGTAATGTTCATTCTTATTGCAGTAAGTTATAAAGATGCTGTACATCTAAAACCTCTTGTTTTCCTCCTGCAGACGTGGATCTGTCTGTGGAGAGTAGTACTGGAGATGGAGAGGCGCATGAGGAAGTTATACATAACCCTGATCATGAACTGCACTAACATCCTTACTGTGCATTAACCAAAGAGCAGCCCTCCTGCTGAGCATCAGTTTATTAAAGAACAAAATGTTGTTTCAGGTCTGGACTTGCACTGTACTATTTATGCCTTACAATATGTTTACTTTATATCTTTAAGCCAATAAAAGACTTGTTTTTAGTTCTGAGTGAAAATCTATATTCTGTAATACAAATATGTAATAAGAGGGTATATCTCTGCCTCTCAACCCATGACAGCTGGATGGAAATATTTACTGGACATGGATGGATTCTATTTTTTATTTTCTGAGTAAATTAAAAATCCAAAATACAGCTGGCCACAAGAGGGCACACTTTGTCTTTTTTTCTGTGTCTCACAAAGAGTAAACTGAGAAATAATACACATTGTAGGAGCCATTTTGTGTTTATCGTTGGCATGTTTTATGATTAGATTTATCGGAATATATTATTTTCCAATAGGGACACTGAATGCACAGGGGCGTGTATATATAGTAGCACAGGTGACAGGAATGGGAGGGCACAGGTACGGGGAGCACAGACAGTTCTCAGCAGACCGGCAGGCATGTTTCAGACCAGCACTCAGACAAACTACAATTCATTCATTCTACTGGCTACACTTCACTGGAAATGGTATGTTTTTTGTTCTCATATCTCAATCAAGTCACTTCAATAAACCTTCAACTCAACTTTAATAACGGCTGGAAAATCATTGTTTGCATCAGCGTAAGACTTCACCCCTACCTGTGTATTAATGGTAATGATTGGAGCAAAGGAAAAAATTGGAAAATTGCCATTACACCCATACTAACACATAAATGTATGGATGAAGCTGAAAGACAGTATCAGTGAAAAGAGAGCTCTCTCTCTCTGTCTCTCTCTCTCTCTGTCTTTCTCTCTCTCTCTCTCTCTCTCTCTCCCTCTGTCTCTGTTTCTCTCTCTCTCTCTCTCTCTCTCTGTCTCTCTGTCTTTCCTCTCTCTCTCTCTCTCTCTCTCTCTCTCTCTCTCTCTCTCTCTCTCTCTCTCCCTCTGTCTCTGTTTCTCTCTCTCTCTCTCTCTCTCTCTGTCTCTCTCTCTCTCTCTCTCTCTCTCCCTCTGTCTCTGTTTCTCTCTCTCTCTCTCTCTCTCTCTCTCCCCCTCCCTCCCTCTCTCTCCCTCTCTCTCTCTCTCTCTCTCCCTCTCTCTCTCTCTCTCTCCCCTCCCTCCCTCTCTCTCCCTCTCTGTTTCTCGCTCTCTCTCTCCCTCTCTGTTTCTCTCTCTCTCTCTCTCTCTCGCTCTTAATTCAATTCAGCTAAATAGCTTTATTGGCATGACAGATTAGCAATCCATGTTCCCAATCTGTACAGAAAAGATTTACAAATGATTATTCAAATGTATACAATATAATGAATATGATACTACATTAACATTAGCTATTACTGAGAAACATTAAGGGTAGTTTGTCTTAGTTTGTTACAACCACAAACATATTTTGCAGTTTGTACTGCACACAGACTTTTCTCCCCGCAGCTTCTGATGATCGGGGAGACGGATAAAGTCAAGATATAAAGCATTATTAATCTGATCAAAGAAAGCCTCTCTTAAATCTTTATATTATGTTACATTGTAGGAGGAAGTGAGGCTCTGTCACACACACACACACACACACACACACACACACACACACACACACACACACACACACACACACACACACACACACACAAATACTACAACTGAAACAAAAAGTCTGTGCACTTCAATTTAAGATTTAAAATGTTACAACTTGGATTATTTTTAGATTGCACAAGTATATGAAGTCTGCTTTCATGTTTGTCATGATATGTATTTTTCTTTTAATCGATTTGATATTTTTGGGAACCCAAACTCTTACCATCCTGTAGCATATGCTACAGGAGGCATATGTTTCCTGCTGTCTCTTGTATTATTTCTCGATGATGTCAATTCAAGTAATAGATAATTAATTTGAAACATGTTAACACATAGTTCCTGACAAATCATCTTTCTGTCGCTAAAAGAGGTACTGCAGTCTAGATCATTCTCATCCATGTGTTTTATTATGAAGACACCAGTCATTCTAGTTTCTTTTATTTCACTGAAGGAGTTGGGGTTTGTTCCTGGGTGTCACATTTCTGAAAGGATCGATGAGACTAATAAGGGTCATCCAGTTTTCGACCAATGCACTGATTTCACAAGGAGAAAAAAACATGTGTTGTTTCGTAGGCCTGTTGGATAAAATGTGGAAGTATTTCTCTACACTATAGTTTGCTGAAAGTCGTTGCCAAAAGTGATAATTGCAGGAATGTTAATGCTGCATGTAACTCTATCACACATGGATTGAAGAGTCATATACTCATGCTGACTACAGTTTATGAGCAATGCATTGGCAATAGATTGCTGACATTAAAGGTGGGGTATGTCTGTGATACTTCAGAAAGATTGATGGTATTCAAACTCAACAGCCAAACAAACACCCCTCAATCAAACAAGACAACAATATGATGGATGATTGAGTGTCTGCTGCCAGAGGGAAAGTTAGTTTAAATCAGTGGAGGCATACATAACAAACAACAGCGTAGCAAGAGGAAGCCACAGGGCAAAATAAACATTACCAAATGTTACCAAAGTGTCAAGTAGACAAAGCAATCCTCAGTCTTCAGGCCTTTACATTTTAGATTGTTTATTCTCTAATGGAGTGCCTCAAACGTTTTAGGCAGAGTTTGACTTCTTGCCCAATCATAACCTTATATTTGATGGATAGATAGATACTTTATTGATCCCGAGGGAAATTCAAAGCATCCAGTAGCAGGTTACATGACTTAAAACATACATGACTTAAAACATTTGTTACAAATTAACCACAAAACCGACGCCCCCCCCGCCCATACATATATATTAACCTGAAAAAAGATTTAAAGAATACCTCTAGATGAATCAAACTTAAAAACCTTCTGAAGTTGTGTTGTTTATATATATACAGCAATGTTTAAAAAGAAGATTATTGGGATTATTAATTATCAAATGTTCGTCATCTTGATGTTCGTCAAGAGTGACGTTAGCATTAAAGTGTCCAACCAGAGGCTGACTCTTGGGACAGCTGTGCAATATTTTCAGTATTTGCTCATGTGATCTTCTTCTCTTTGGTCCCTGTTACATGCATGAGCCACAAACCCCACCTTTGGCTGATAGGCCAGAAACGTGTTGTGCTTTTTTCATGATTTATGACGTAGCCTTAAAATCTTCTTTCTTTAAACTTAGGTGAATGTGTTATGTGTGCATAATCGACTTTTACTCTGATTGTTAGGGTAGGCCTACAAAGTAATTATGGGGAATAACATTTGGACCATAAAGGAATGAGTGTATCATCTTCATAAATCAAGAAGTAATCTATGAATCTGCCTGTTATTTAATGTTTTTTGATAACTTTTCACTATCTGCTTTTTAAACATTACTACGGAGCCCTAAACAACACAACTTCAGAAGGTCAACACTTTTTTTTATTTTTTTTATTCAGGTCTAATTGCAGATTTTTTTTTCCCTCAACTGTTCATAGGTTCTTCTTCAAATTGCACATGTATTTCTATCCCTGCACTGGTTATGTACATTTCTTCTACAAGTCTATTTTTAATTGCACAGTTTAAGTTTGATTCATCTAGAGGTATTCTTTAAATCATTTTTCAGGTTAATATATATGTATGGGAGGGGGGCGTTGGTTTTGTGGTTAATTTGTAACAAATGTTTCATGTCATGTACGTCTTTGTAACCTTGCTACTGGATGCTTTGAATTTCCCTCAGGATCAATAAAGTATCTATCTATCTATCTATGAAAAAATTAAAACGCATAGGAGTGATACATCTCGTTTCAGCCTATCTGTGCCGGAGAGCGCTGGCCCGCTGACGTCACAGTGGCTCATTTATCCGCCCAGAGCTGCTGCTGGTTTCCTGCTGAGTCTCCACTCTGTCGCTTCACTCTGTCTCTCTCCGACACTCAACAGATTCCACAAGTTCCAGAGCCGGGGAAACCTCGACATTTCGGGTACGTTCAAGCCTTCAAATTACGTCCACGCACCTTATGTGCCTCGTTGCGTTTTCCTTAGTGGAGCAGAAACTAGCGGGTTTGAAAGTGGTGTAACAGGCTGCTCAACGTGTGACATCGTGTAGGAAGAGATGTGCCAAGAGGAGAGGGAGGGGAAGCTTAGCACAACTGTGTTACAGTCGAAGATAAATGCAGATATCCGGACCAAGTTAGACTGCGTGGGCACTTCTCGTTTAATCACCTTCTCCCCCCACTGCCACAGTTACGCTAACATCAGCCAGTCACCACCACTGCAACCACCAGTTTAACTGTGTTTAACCTAAATCCCCATCCTCGTATTAGGGTTTTAAAACAAGTAACTTAGAGAACCATGGCTGCTCGAGTGGCATAAGCAGCCATTTACATTTAAGACGAGTGTTAGCTGTATAACATCTCTGTTAATTTACACCCAGGCTTTGCAGTAATCACATTAAAGAGTGTCAAAGCCACCCAACCAGTCGGAATGGTTAGAAGCGTCGCCCTCTGTGCAAATGGACGGTGAGTGGTGTGACTGGTAATGATGAGAGGCAGCGGTGTGTTTCACTGTGTTTCCCATTGTGAGAACACATTTAGCTTCCCTAAAAATACCACATAGTCACTGCAGTGTCTTATTTTTGTCTAATGTAATGGCAGTTTTTTTGGGGGTGTTAGGGGAAATGGTGCCCTCATCAGGTAACACATTTTACAGTCCAACTGGATTGTGTTTGTGGTTGTTTTACTTTGTAAATGCAAATATTGGACTTTAGTTGTGGGCCCTGACAGTAGGTCTGGTTAATCTACAGTCAGACCGGCACACTCCTAAAGTGACCGGCTCCTTCTACAGTACTGTGGTCTCATGACATTCCTCGTGTCTTGCAAAACTCGTGGGTTATTTGACCTGTAATACAAGCCCATACAAGCCACGTGCAAAGTGGGCTGTGTCCTGACATCACCATGGGCAGGAAGTTGGCATCTCTTCCTGGGATGAGTTCACCTATTGTTGCAGAAAGATGTGCCCTGATCTTAATGTTGCTGGAGTGTTCTTCCATCACCATGGCCTTTGAGTGGACACATTTCATCTGCTGGGTAAACCTCTTTCATACAGCTGTTGGATGACTGTTGACAAAGGATAAGATTAGTAAAAGGGGTGATAACAAGTTTTTGTATTCGTTTAGTCTGGAGGTTTCAGTCAGTGTCTGGCTGTAAAAATTAAGACGAGTCTCTAAAAGAATGTCTACCCCAAGATCAGTGTATAAAGTTGTTTGCAAGTCCTGCTCGTTAAAGGCTTAATATGTGATTTTTCACACTTAAATATAATATAAATCAAGTGTATCCTCTGAAAATAACTCTGTGAGTCATGACTGTCTACAATGGGTGTAACACCCGAGTCCCACTGTCTGTGATGTTTTCAGAGTTCAATCTTCAGTTTGTTTACATCGTCAGGACAGCCGGCTGACTCCTCCCCTCGTGTATAAAAGTTGTTTAATTGAGGGACTAGAGAAAAGAAGAATAACATACTGTACTCACTGCTTAACTGTGTTTCTAGATCACGCTCATTTCAGGTAAATTTACATGCAGTGTGAAGATACGAGCATAATAATGATCGCTAGCATTAGCATGCTAACACAACAATGCAGCGTGAGTTGTTTTAGTTTCATGCTGGTGCTCAAGGGTGACATCTGCTGGATCAAAAAATCACACAGTTTTTCTGATATGATTCTTTTGGATTTGCCTATGAATTGTATAACTGTCAACCTTTAGGAAGCTGCAACACATTTCTCCTGAAGGACTAGTTTTGAGCTATTGTAGCACATTTGGAGGCCTATGAAGTGAGTTCAACTTACCAAGGGTATTTTCCGGTTATCTGGCTACACTAGCCCTGACAAATAAGATCTAGCCAAGCGATCACAGCATTCATCACTTGATGAATCAACCCATAGTTTAGCGTGTTCACATTAATGGGGCAGTGTTGGCAGCATATGAGCAATCACAGACATGTTGAAGTCTACTGTCAGCAGATCATCATATTCCACGTCTATACCACATTAGAAAATTATGAATTAGTTAACAGACTACAATCAACAAAACTTCATTGGAAAATGCAAAAAGACCCGTCATAAAGAAATAGACTGTGAATGCTTAAAGGAAGAATGTTTGACTTTTTGATCCAGTAGATGGTGCCCTTGAGCACCAGCATGAAATCAAAACAAAGTGCTGTTTGGGGTCACCGCTGCCATACTGAAGCAGGAAGGAGTTTAGTGTGAGCTGCAGACAGACTTGTCCTTGAACTGAGCTGACCTGTGGCCTGCATTGTTGTGTTAACAGGCTAATGTTAGCACACTTAGCTTGAAGCTTCACATTACATATAAAGTGACACAGCATGACCAGATCTTAAAACGCTTCAAATGAGCAGTAATATTGTTAGCCATAGGGGCGGCTGTCGTCTCTCAACTGGAAGGTTGAGGATTCGATCCCCAGCTCCTGCAGCGACATGTCCGATGTGACAAGACACTTAACCCCAAACTGCTCCTGCTGCCTCGTCAGCGGCGTATGCATCTGTATGAATGGGATTAGTTACTTCTGATGGTCACTTTACACAGCAGTCTCTACCATCAGTGTGTGAATGTGTAGGTGTGACCTGCGTTGTAAAAGCGCTTTGAGTAGTCAAAAGACTAGATAAGCGCTATACAAGTTCAATTCCATAATAGGCTATGTTATTCCTTTTTTCTCTTCAGTCTGCCTTACCCTCCATGTAAACACAGCTCTGACAACAACACAGGTCACTCACACCATCTAACCCATTGTTTACAGTCATGACTCAGAGCTATTTACAAGGGAAACATTTGATTTCTGCTATATTTATGTGTAAAACATTGTAGAGTCTTCCTTTAAAATAAGGACAGGGCTATAATATCAACGTCCATCGTAAGTCAATGATAGATCTGATTATAATATCTCCCTTTTTATATATATATAAAATTAATTTGTTGCAGATATATTATTGCAGCATGTCTGACAATTAAAGGCATAATATTTTAGCTTCAGACCTGACGTTAACAAAGGAGTGGTATGGAACTAATTGAATCAATATTAAAGTATAGACTAATAAAAAGCAAAAGAACACTTAAGGATTGTCTTGTGACTCATAGGTACATGACTACAATCCTCCTGTGTTTTTTCAGCCTCTGCTGTGGGATGATGAAGCAATAGAAAATATGTTTATGTCATACAGGAAAGTCAAAGTGTCTGTCGGTCTCTCTCCCTCTTCCCGTCTCACTATCTGCTCACTGAGCTCTTCAATCGGGACATGTAATTGGTCAGTGGGCGCTTCTTTTCACAAACCTATCTGAAGTTACCCTGCTAACAGAGAATCCTTCTCCGTAGTGCAGAGTCAGTCCCCACTGTAGTCCAACCTCAGCCACAGGTGTCACATCAGAGCAGTCTAATATACCTGCTCAATTATTCAGAGTGAAGATGTGGCATCAGGGATCATCTTTCTGTCTGACTGTATGGTACAATAAATCTTTCACAGACACTTAATCAAAGGCTGCAGCAGGCCCTGGATGAGCCCAGGCCTACCATTACAAAGCTCCTTGTTGTTAACTGTGGAGCCCCTCTGGTGACATTGATGAACACTTTAGAACTGGTGACCTCCAATTCTTAATTTGAGGCCTCAGAACAATAATTTGTGGGTTCAAAATAACTTTTCATACATGCAAAATATTAATTTGTGGCCGTGAATTATTATTTCTAGCCTCAAATAGATAGCGTTGCATCATAGCTGGAGGTGGGGCCTCCCCTGGGGGAAAATAATCCTTTCCCCCCTCAGCGCTAACCGGATGTGACCTTTTGTGGGCGTTCCCCTTAATGCCGACTGTATTATTATTTTGTGGGTGCAAATTCTAAAATTTTCACCAATGTTACCAGAGGGGCTCCATAACATACAGAGGACATGTAAGTCATTTTATCTAGGTGAAGTTTTCCTCACCACCACTTTTTCTGATCAGGAAGTTCTGCAGAGGGAGAGCAGCTTTAACATGTTTTGCATCTGCAGCCTCGTCATCTTGGCATTGCTTCAAGAATTCTATACATTTGGTTAAGAGAACCCCTCACACATAGAGATACAATATGTAAGGAACCTCTAGCAGTTTAATCTCAAAAGATTTAACTGCTGCATACTTTCTTTCACATCAGACAAATATCTTCTCTGGGTGGGAACTTAGGGTGCTATCATTACAAAACAAAGCATTTCCTAATGAAACCAATGCTTGTTCTCCAAACTTAACAAATGCATGTTGAAACACATTGGTTTTTTTTTAAGTGTTCTAAGATAATTTTGGTATAATTATTGTTTCATGAACCATAGTTAAGCTGCACAGTAAAGGTGTGTGCTGTCACATGTTTGCACAGATGTGTGTACATTTCCAGGTTGTGCAGGTCAGAACACACCCTGACTTTACAAACTGGAGTTGGCAGGTGTTATACTTGCATGATTGAATGCTTGCACAAGTTGTGGCCTCAAAAGATTCACACAAACAAATGTCTTTTAAAAAGAAAATAAAACTAGAAGAAAAGAAAGGAACCATTTGGGTCAAGACTTTAACTTGTGAAGTTTGACAAGAGGTTCTAAAGTTTGGCCTACAGTTCTGACTTTTCACCATGGGGTCTAACCAAACTTCTTCTATGGGATTTTAGCACTGGATTTTGGATCATTGCAGAAAATAATCTCTGTGGCTAACACACGTTTCTGAAGCGTAGGCGTTTTGTTCATCAGGATAATCTTCAAAGATGAACACTGAATACTATATATTGATAAATCTACAAGAGTTTTCAAGAGCACTGAAAAACACGACTAGAGGCTGTAAGGTGGACTAGTGAGAGAGTTCCCGCCCTCTGTGTTCGGCGTGATGACGTTTAATGTCCCCGACAACCACTGTAGTCACATTTAGCCACTTGTTAGCAACTGCCTTTTTAAAAACGCG